TCTGCAAAAACAACCAGTGTTCTTAACTGCTGAGCCAGCTCTCCAGCCCCTCTTATCTTTTCTACATAATAAAATATAAATAACGATAATGAAATTAAGAGGAAACTGCACTTTTTGTTCTTTTTGCTTTGGTGGGAATTGAACCCAGAGCCTCTGGAATGCTAAGCACTTGCTCTACTACTGAACACCAGCTCTGGGCTGGAACAGCTCCTGTTTAAATGATCTATTTAGAAGCAAATCAAGGTTATTGGTTATCAATAGTAATTCTGTTGCATATTTTATAAACAGTACTGTTTATTGACCCAGAGAAAATCTTAGTAAAACTGTAGTTACTCCTGTGTCTGACACCCATCTCATTAGTGTACAAATTTGCTTTTTTAAAAAAAATAAAATTAGGGCTGGAGAGATGGCTCAGCGGTGAAGAGCACTGACTGCTCTTGCATAGGACCCAGATTCAATTCCCAGCACCCACATGGCAACTAACAGTCATCTATAACTCCAGTTCAGGGGAATTCAAAGCCTTCTTCTGATCTCCATGGACATTGCATGACATAGGTGCACTTATACACATGAAGGCAACACACTCATACACATTTCTTAATAAAATTAAGAAAAGATAAAATTATATATATGTGTATGTGTGTGTATACACAATCAACTGCTTTAAAATAAATGTCCTTATGATTTATTTATTACCATTGTGTGTTTGATTTCTGTGCCTATTTTATTTGCCTGGACCGCTAGGGTCACATAAAAATTTCTCACTTGGAAAGGGGTTGTGAGTGGGAAAAGCTGAAGAAGTCCTGGCTTACATTGTTTGTCTGTTTGTGAAGAGATTTCCAAGTACAGTCTGGGTGACCTTGGAAGAGGCGGTCTCAGAGCAGGTTCTGTCTTGCTTTGGTTAGATGACACGATTTTGTTAATTCCTTTTGCAGAGTGCCTGGCACGTAATAGAAACTGAGTAAATAACTAGTAGATTGATGATATAAAGGTAGACCAAGGGACCAGAAAGATGGCTTAGTGGGTAAAAGTGTTTGCCACCAACCCTGATAACCTGAGTTCAATCCCCAGGACCCATAAGGTGGAAGGAGGGAACCAACTCTTTAAAAGTTGTCCTCTGCAATACAGGGAAATTAATGCTGTATTAAACAAACACACAAATAGGAGTAATTATCCCTTCCAATGTTTGGTCTCTATGTGATCTTGTTGCTTTGCTGCTCAACCTTCACAAATGCTCCTTTAAAGGCAGGAGAGCTAAAGATTTTATAAAAAGAGAGGAATAATAGAAATTTTTTCCTCTAAATTCAGTTTTGCAATTCTACCTCTCATTAGAGCTTGAGATACAGTTTTGTCTGAATGCATGGCTGGCTAAATTGTGTGAGTGATTAAATACTTCCTTGAATTTACAATACTGTACTAAAGGCCTAATCCTGTCCATGTTGTCCTGTCTTGTTATCTGTCTCAAGGACAGGAGAGCTGGACTCTCCTCTGTCCTTTGTCCATGGACTCTCTAACCTGTTGTCCTCTACAAATTTCTGCTGAGAGTAGACGGGCACCAAGGACACAGAGCTCCAGTACTAGGGTCTGCAGAAGTGTCTACAGTGAGGCAGCAGGCATTCTCTTTCCCCCTTGCCCACACACTCCCTACATAGCAACTAAGAGGCCTGGATTGCTGTGGGGAATTGGCTCCTAGATAAGATTCCGCAGTCTGAGAGTTATTAGGCAAAGGGCTTTGATGTTTGTTTATTAGTGTGGACCAATAGCTGTTGTGCTTTTCCCAACTAACTTAATGTTAAGAAATGTTAAAAAAAAAAAAAAAGCATTTTCTAGCCTGTGACCAGGACCCCAGACTGGGTCAGGTTGCTGTTAGTGTTTGAGCCTGGGCTAAACAATATAAAAAGAGAGAAATTTAGACTCTAAACTTATCTTAAAAAAAATAAAAATTGTAAAACATGCTTATATTAAATTACATTTGTAATTTATGATTTTTGCTGTTGTTAATTCTTGAACAGTAACTTACACTTCAAAAAGCCTTTCATTTTGATTTAATTTCAACAAAGCAGGTTACAATTAATGACTTCCTCATAATATTTTTTTTTTTTTGTCTTTTTGAGACAGAGTCTCTTAGTAGCCCCAGCTGGCTAGGAACTCACTATGTAGACAAGGTTGGCCTTGAGTTCACAGAGGTCCATCTGCTTCTGCCTCCCAAGTGCTGGGACTAAAGGCGTGTGCCACCATGCCCGGCTTTGACTTCCTCATAATCTTGTTCAGACCTATGGAAGATTGATTAATTATCTTAGATAAATTTGAAAAAAAAAGCTACAGCTACCACTTTTTTCCTGTTTGTAAAAAATTTTAAAACTAAAAATACTAAATAAAACCTCCAAATTTATTGATAAGGGACTGTCTTTACAGTATCTTCAAAAGTGAGCTTCTTTTTAAATCTTCAAGTAAAAGCTGAGAGTATATACTTTAAAATTTTTTCACACTTAATCCATAGCTATTGTCAAAAACATCAAAAAAGGGAAGCAATTTCTTAATAACCCCCAAAAGTGAATTTTCACGACAGGTAAAGAATTTGTTTATAAATGTTATTATGTCTCATGATAGTAAAAAAGAAAAATAAAAAGTTGAAAGGAGGGAAAAAAAAAGTTGTCCTGTGACCTCCACATGTATGCTGTGGCATGTGTGCACGCACACCAGTAGTTAATAAATGCATGTAATTTCACAAAATAAGAGTAGAACAAAAGAAATAGTCTTATTTAAATCTAAATCTTAAATGACTTGATTTTGCAGTGCTTACCATAGAGGACTGAGAAGGAAGAATATTTAACTTTAGGTTGCTTTCTCTTCTATAACACAAATTCTCATAACTTGTTTTGAGCTCTCCAGGCAAGGTAAATAATGTTCATATGACTATAAACATTATCACTATATATGTTTAAGAATGCATCTTTATATGTATTGTGTCTGCGTTATATTCTTGTATACATTTTGATACTCGGACAGCATGGTCTTCATGGTCCCTCCGTTAGCACCTGTTCAGAACCTGTGTGCAGTGCTGTGTGAGTGATTGCAGACTGTGTATGTTGGGCGGGACACTGCTCCTGATTGCTGATTCCTGGGAATAAAGTTCTTTCATTTAATATTGTAATGCTGGTTCAGCAGCCCTTCACCCTGGCCAGGCGTGCACAGCTGGCAATGCAGAGGGGCGTGCTCAATGCGTGCTCAATGTCTGCTGCTTTTGCAGGTGCGTGCGAGGGAACTTTGGCTTGCTCTACCTGTCACCTCATCTTTGAGGATCACATATATGAGAAGTTAGACGCCATCACCGATGAGGAGAATGACATGCTTGATCTGGCATACGGACTGACTGACAGGTGGGTGGTTTTTGTTGTTGGTTTGTTTTGTTTGGGGACAGGGTCTTAACTCTATAGGCCAGGCTGGCCTCAGACTCAGCAATCCTCCTGCTTTAGCCTCCTCAGTGTTGGGATTACAGGCACCACACTTGATCAGACAGGTAAGATTTTAGGGCCGCTTCACTTGTGCTAATAACCTGGGAAAATCTGCCCTTTATTCCTTTGTGTCTAGGATTGCACCCATGAGTGTAATAGTGCCCTCTCCTGTGGGCGTTCACTAAGTCTCCGTGTCCTAGTCGCCATTTCTCTTTCACTGTTCCACAGGTTAGACACTATGGAGCTTCTGTTTTACAAAAACTGGTAGTATTATGAGCTCTAAATCCTAATACATCTTCTTTAGTCTATTTTTATCCTAGGAATTAATATTTATCACAATTTAACAGGATGGAATTAAATGGAATGCTTTTTATAGTTTCTTGAAGGATAAATTTGATAATTGAACAAAATATAGTAGAAATTTTTACCTATTTGAGAGAACAGAATTTTCAAAGAAACTTAGTATGTAATGTTAATTACGTTTAGGTGACTAGTTCTTTTTCTAAGTATATATTAAAGTAAATTGATCGAAACTTATTACTACTAATAATTAGTTATTATTATTAGGTAGACTTTCTCTGAAATGTGGTAAGATTCACAGGCACAGGTGGTACCAAATGATACTATTTTTTAATTATCCAGTCTTGGAGTCAAGGAAGGTTTCTCCCTGAGTTACTGTTTCAAGGGGTAATTAAGGAGGCTTATTACTTACTTAAGGTGAGCTTTAACTGTATTTTCTAACTGTAATGAAGAATAATTTAAAATTTTTATTAGATTACAATGAATTGGGTTTCATTATGGCAAGAATACATTTCTAGCAGTTACCCTAGGGATAATGGTGCCATTAGTTTCAGTTTGTTCCTCTCATAGTTCATTCTCCCTGTTCCCCATTATTTGCTTTTTTTGTTCTATGGATGGAACCCAGGGCCTCACACATCCTAGGCAAGTGCTCTGTCACTCAGCTATGTCCCCAGCCCCCATCTCCCTCTTACTAAGGTGAGACCAGTGCCTAGGGAAAGGAGACTGAGAACATTATATCTTTTTAGACATCAAAGCACAGGGGCTGTGGCTGCCGTTGCCTGACTCCAGTCACGTCTTCACTGCTCCATTTGCTGTCCACATCCTCCCCACAAAGAAATCACTGAGAGTGCATGGAGTTTGGCTGTGAGAATTGTGTTCTTAATAAGAAGGTTCATTTGTAGTCTTTTTATTCAGATAAAATGTGTGAGTTGGGCTGGGGCTATAGCTCAGTAGTACGATGCTTGTGTAGCATGTGTATGGCCCTGTGTTCAATCTTTAGCATGCACAATATTTTTCTAAGTTGTAGGCTAAATAATAATTCTGAGTCACAAAGAAAAAGCAAATAAAGGGAAACTGTCTTAGACATAGGATGTCATACTATATAAAAGGCTTATAGTAAACACAAACTAGCCACGGGAATTGATGAAATTCCCAGGTTTTAGAACAAGATTAAAAAGCTCAAGGAATAGCTTTCACAGCATTTTATAGCTAGTATTCTTTTGTTTGGTTTTAAGGCAAGATCTCACTGTGTAGCCCAGGATGCATCTCTGTGTAGCCCAGGACTCCCTCATACTTGAGCTGCTTCTGCCCCAGACTCCTGAATCCTAAGGTTAAAGGCATGTACCACCATGTGTGGCTGTTCCTGATGTTTAAGGACACAGAATTTTAGTAGATACTTTATGGAGAAAGTGATGCCCTTCACGTAGAATCTACAAAACACTTTGAAATAGAAAGAATTTTGTTCAAAGCTGGTAAACACTTCTGTTTAGGGTACCATATAGTTCCAAAACAAAATATGAGGAAAATCAGCCTTTTAGTTCATGTGCTTATTTTATTTTTCATTTTTTACTGAGAATTTCACACCTTGTCCTCTCTCTGCACCCTCCTTTTACTACCCCCCTCCCAATTCTGTGTACTCTGTTATGTATATTAAGGCCTGTCAAGTCAAATTTGTTTTCTCGAATGCCCTTCAATGTGGGTCTATTCACTGGAGTCTCGTTAACTTATCCAGTGTTACACTCTTACTCTCCCTCACCCAGCAACTACAGATTACCAATAGTTCCTCAGCTAGGGATGGGGCTTCTTACCCTCTTCCCCACTTCTTTGCTGGGATTCTGTCTGGCTTATGCTTACATGGTACTTGTACATGCTGTCACCATAACTGTGAGTTCATTTGAGTAATTGCTTAGCTGTCTGGAAAACACTGTTTCCTTGTGGTCATACACCACCTCTGGCTCTTAAAATCTTTCCACCCCCTCTTCTACAATGATCCCTGGGCCTTAGGATTGATATAGATGCCGTATTCAGGGATAACCACCCTACAGTCTCTTACTCTTTGCCTGTTGGCCAGTTGTGGGTTTTGGGGTTAATCATGGTCTGCTATATGAGGAAGCTTCTCTGTTGAGAGCTAAGAGATGCATATGGGTATAACAATAGGTCATTAAGAGTCAGTTGAATGCTCTGTTTAGCAGAATAATAGTAGTGGGCCTTCCCCTATGGCCTGTGACCTGTTAGCCATGTGTTTCTAGGTCTGATACCATTGTCAGGTATGCACTCCATTTTGTGAAGTGGGCCTTAAATCCAAGCAGAAAGTGGATGGTTACTCCCATAACATTCATGCCACTATTGTACCAGTGGGCATATCCTGCCAGGCCAGTTGTTGTAACTCTCAGGATTCACACTTGGGCAAAGTTGATGGTTACTTTCTCTTCTGGTAGCATGCATAGCACCTTCTAGCTCTATGAAAGCTAACCAGTAGAGATGAAGCCTTGAAGTCAGTACCAGCTTGATTTCTCCTTGTTTGTTCTACAGCTTATATATGCATGTCTTCAGCAATAGGATCCTCCTATCAAGTTTTGGTGGGTAACCAAGAGCAGGGGCAGTGGCCAGTGTTGTTTGAGGGTCTATGGGATCTGGTCAACAGCTTCTAAATAGGAAGTCCATTCCTGTCATTGGACTTTCTTCACTAGCCTATGGCATCCAGTGTCCCCCTGTTATAGGCTAACTCCTTTAAAATATCTTTTTATATTTTTATGTTGTGTGTGTATATGCTTTAAGAAGCTTCTGTAGTAGTAGGTGACCATAAGACCTTGCTAAAGGATTTTAGTGTTATCCCTCCCCATACTTCCTCCTCTACCCTGCCCTCCCATTTCCCACCTCTTTAACCCTTCCTACTTCATTATTTCCCTTTTGTCTTTGTATCACTGCATTTTATCTCCCCTCCCCCAAAGCCCCCCTCCCCCATGGCTGTGTGCTAGTTACCTGACCTCTATGGAATTTCCGGTTGAAACACCCATGCACTAATTTTGAAGTTAAGTGTTTTTATACACATCTAATTTTGAAGATAAAACATGTGTTCATGGCCCTTGTGAATTATTTGTTTCCCTCCTTTTCATCTCTCCTGGGCCGGATTCACACATGGGTTTACCACTTATTTATATAATTAATAGTTGATGGATCAGGAAATTCAGAAATTGTGCCAGTCTACATCAGACGATTATTGTTGATCCTTGCCACCACGTTCCATGGATACACAGAGACCCCATTATCTGCAAGAGGTTTTAATCAGAGTTCTTTCCTCGTAGGGTTCTATGAAGAGTTAATGAATAAATATATGTGAAGTCCACAGACATGCAGTGAATGATGGTTAGCATTATAACTACAATAATACAGGTTTGTTGTTGCTGCTGCTGCTGTTATTGAGTGCTTGATGTAATGTCCAGGCACTTAGTGAAGTTTTATTCTACCCTTCAGGCTTAGACAGTGCTATCTCTGTCTTAGAGATAGGAAAACAAGGTTTAGTTCTCATAGGTTTGCTCAAGGCTACCCAACTTGATTTGCTTAAGTTCTAGCACCTAGGACAACTGGCCAGTGACAGACCCTAACTTGTATCTAGTTGTGTGGATTCGAGAACCTGCTTTAGAAGTAAAATCAACACTCCACATATTTTCAGTGTCAGAGAAATACCCAAGAATGGTGGAGAAAGAATCTTCAGGTTTGTAGCAGCGTCTGGACTCAGTAAAACTGGTGGTATGGATTCTAGCTATATCCCCAGCTGCTCTCTCTAGAAATGGGAGACACTGGATGCATTTTAGAGCCACAGGCCTTTAAGGAGGTAAAGAATGTAGGGGAACGAGAAAAGTGCTACAGAGTACCACCTCTTTATCTTCTACAACAATCCAGATCTCTGAGAACTTTTCTGTGTTCCCGTAATACACTTGTTTATGGTATCTGCCCTGCCCTGATGGTGGCTTCCTTTCCTAAATTAACAGTTTCTTGAAGATTAGCATCATCTTCTCGTCATCCTCACGGGAACTTCTGGAGTGTTTGATTTTTTTCTTTAAGGCTGCCAGAGGCCTACCAAATCTGTCCAAATTGCTTTGCCGCTCTCTCTCATGTGCACAATTCAGATCGTCAAGGCTGTTTCTATTTCTGCAAATAAGGACTGTTAGTGGGAAGGGATTTCATTTTTTCTTTCAGCAGTCAAAATTTCCTGAGGTTAAGCTGCTTCCATCATCCAGGACGCCCTACTGGTGCCTCAGGCTGCCTCTTTAGCCTATCCTGTATCATTTCCTTTCCTTGGAAGAGGGCACTGGGGATTGAGTAAAGGTCTTTTCACAATAGGAAAGTGCTTCTGCCACTGAGCCACTCCTTTCCTTGCAATGCTGTGTAGCAGCAAAGCTAAAAGCCCTACCCCACCTCAGATGTGTCTTGAATTTCCCTGTGTTCTGTTGCCATTTTCTCCAATGTTCTTTTCAAATCCTTTATCTTTTAAAATGTTAAATCCTACCCATCCCTCAGAGTCTATTCTAGACATCATCTGCCCTGGCCAGAAGTATGGCTTCCTCTCCTCAGAGTCATTTCCTTTCCGCTCTGTGCATTTGTCACCATCTCAGTCTCACATGTTAATTACCAGCGAGACTTCTCATCTGCCTGATGGAAAGTTCACTCAGTGCTGCTGACATTAGCAATTAATCTCCACGGCAGTCCTGTGAGAAAGTCTTTTCTTCTCCATCTTGATGATCGGGTGAGGCACTAAGAGAGTTGCCTGTGAATCCACTGTTGGTGCTGATTCTGGACCATTGGTCTGTTCACTCCTTCCCCTGTGCTTTCTGCTGATTACCTCTCTTGTGCCCATCATATAACAGGTGTTTAATAAGAAAATATTGAATTGATTAGTTAGTGTATACTCATTGATATTTAGTAGTATACCTATTGAGCATTTATGTCCTCAATAAATGCTTGGTGACTCCGTTAATGAATCTAACATCCGCATAACATGCTTTGTCAAAGACAATTTGATTATAAAATTAACTTTTTTTCTTTTTTGGTACTTGGGATTGAATCTAGGGCCTTGTGCAGGCTAGACAAGTGTTCGTCACTGAGCTATATCCCCAGCCCAATTTTTACTTTCTTATTTTTGAAACTGGGTCTCATTAAGTTGCCCCAACTGGCCAGGAACTCACTCTTTACCCAGGCAGCCCTTCAACTTGCAGTCTCCTGTCTCAGCCTCCTAAACAGCTGGGACGACAGGCCTGCGCCACCAGGCTTAACATTTACTTTTGTGCTACTAAGAGAAAAGAAAAGTGCTGTTGACTAAAATGTGCATGACGTTGTCCTTTTCACCTAGTGTAGTGCATATTATGAAGTTACCTAAACACATCCAGACATGCACTTGTGTTATCTGTTAAAAATAAAAAGTGCAAGTAAAGCAAAATTGGTAACAATTCCATGAGAGAAAAAGAGAAGAAAGTAGAATCACAGTTTATCTTCCCATAACAAATACCAGATTTGTACCTGTGTTCCTGTATTCTTATTAATTTTTGTTTTATAATCTTTTGGGACTTATTTTGAAAGGATTTAAAAGCTCAACATATTTGGTATTAACGTACTTCCCTTACTCAATTGAAGAGACCCCAGTATAGATATTGTAACCGACTTCACAGCTATGACATGACTGCTACTTACATCGTATTGTGACTGTAAGATCCTGATTGTTTTAAGATGTACTTGATTTTGGAGATGTTAAAAATATGGGGAAAATGTATTCAGATAATTGATGGTTTGAGTCTTTGAATTTCAAACTTCTTTCTTAAAGGTTTGGTTGTTGTTTGACACAGGCTCATATCCTAGGATGGCCTCTAACTAGCTATGTGACTGAGGATGACCTTGAACCCCTGATCTTCCTGCCCCCACCTTCCATGTGCTGGGATTACAGGCCTGCACCACCATGCTTGGCTTTTAATAGTGTAGCTGTCTTTTATCTGTATCTGATTACCTGGGAGAGTTGATTCATCATTTTCTTGATTGTGCTAAGATGACTCTTTTCCCACCGTTGAGCATTCTGGTTATGTCATTGTTTGGTAGCTATTTCATGAAAGAGTAGCTGGTTTGCTGAGTAGTAGACAGTAGAAAGTAAATGCCAGGCGAAGCTGTGGCATAGTAGGCTGTTTGCCTGTTTGCCTTTGCTGCCCTCAGATGGGTGGATTCTCTGTTTTGACCTATTGAAAACTAAAAGGTTAATGAATTCCCTGACTGCTTTTGGTAAGAGGTATGAAAATATCCTAAACAATTACATTGCCTTGTGAGTGACGTAAACTGAATATTAAACTGAACCTCATTCCTTTTCTGTACAGATCGCGGTTGGGCTGCCAAGTTTGTCTGACCAAGGCTATGGACAATATGACTGTTCACGTGCCCAGTGCTATGGCAGATGTCAGACAGTCTGTGGACATGAACAAGAATTCCTGAGTTACAATAAAAAGAAGTATTTTCATGAAATTTTTACTGATTTTTATAATCATTTCTCGGTATAATTAGATGAAAACATGGTAGAATGGATTTATTATAAGTAGCTGTACTATCCCACTTCATCTGGTATGTCCCATTTTGTAGTACTGAAAGTTTGCAGTTTTTATTTTAGTTAAATTATTAAAATGCTAGTCTAATATTAGAGGATAGCTGATAAAATCAACTCCTTACTTATTTTACCATGTTCAGTGACATTAGCAAAACATTACTAGAAAAGATACATTTGCTTATCTGAAAGGTAAGTTTAAAAAAAGTATTATTACTGCTATTTCATGTGGGTGAGAGCAGACAGAGTTCTAATGGCTTACCTAGGGCCGTATAACTCATGAGAAAATCTGTACTGGAATCCATATTTTTTATGTTTTATGTTCAGATTGATTCTGGAGAAATTATGAGAATTGACATAGAAAAAAAGAGGCTAAGTGTAAGGTGGCTGGAGGTAGATATAGCTGCACAGGTGTGTGTTAGAGAGGATATCCTGTGACCTCTCGAACAGTACAGACACAAGACTATCCAAAACTGACTGGGACCAAAAATGTGGCTGGCTGGGACTACTGCTAGCTGTCCTTTACTTCATATGGTGACATTTCTGTATCGTTAGCTTTGGAAAGTTGCCTGTTCCCATCATTACCTGTTGTAGTAACATATTGGAAAATTCTGTTGAAGAATAAGAAGGGGGTGGTACACCCTATTTAGGGAAAATCTTGATCCATTCCTGGAGTTCTTTACTGTGCCTTAACTTAGGAATAATTTTTCCCTCTTTAAAATTTGCCTGTAAGACACTACCCAGAATCCTACTGCCCATCTCTCTCAGAAGCCTACATTCACCCTTTGTGTGTGTACTTTTGTCTTGTAATAAACCTTTTCCTTTTCTTATTTTGTGTCTGAATTCTTTTTTTAAAAAAATATTTTATTTATTATATTTTGTGTATGAGTATATCACTTGCATTTTGTGTACATGCACCCATGTTGTACCATGATCGTGGATGCCAGAAGAGGCCATCAGATCTCCTGGATTTGGAGTTACGAATGGTTGTCAGCTGCCATGTGAGTGCTGGGAACTGAACGTGCAAGAGCAGCCAGTGCTCTTAACTGATGAGCCGTCTCTCCAGCCCCTGAATTCTTGCTTTGATGGTGATAAGAAACTGGAAACACTGGGAAGAGGACTCAGTCTGCTCTCTCTGGGGACCCCCCAGGCTTCACCCACACAGCATCATGTATGCCAGTAATGAAGTCTAAATATGTTTGGAAAAGATAGTTAATTGTTGAATGAAATGCTTAATTTCAAAGACAGTTGTTAGCCTTATAAATAAGTATTTTAAAATTTTGATTCAGTAGGAACTGTAAATCTGAACACAGGCATTATAACACTGCCAGAGAAGTGATATTTTTTCTGACTAAGCCAGGAAAATAAACTTAATTAGATGTCTTTATTTTGTCTATTCCAAGGGGAATACTATGTCTTTGTAATCATTGAAAATAATGTTGATTCATATATTGCTGGCTATAACAGAATGGAAATCTAATGAATTAGGTCTGTGTATCCTGAGTCAGACCATGTGGTTAGAGCCTACATTGCACAGCCTAGGGGCCCCATTCTGCTGCTCACTGTGCACAAACTGCAAGGTATAATAATCACTAGCCTGGCAAGAGACACCCACCGATACAGTAGTGACACAAACATTACGCAAGAAACATTTTCTGATTGGATTTCAGGTTGCTCCACAAGATGAAACTCATGTCTGGTACCATTATCTGAGCCAAGAACCTGGTTGGTAGGCCTTAGGAGAGAACGGAATACTATTGTTCTGCTTCACGAGAGAAGCTTCTTTTTGCAGTAGATAGCAATTAATAGAGACCCACAACTGGTTAATGCGTAGAGAATAGAAGCTGTGGCATGCTCAGCTCTCAAAGAACAGCTACATCACATCCCTCCCTCTGAGGCTCAGGGGTCATCATGGAAGGAGTGGAAAGATTGTGAGAGTCAGAAGAAGGGGACCTGTGAAGTAGGGGATGTGTGCAGCAAGACAGTACTTGCCGGACACGACACATTGTACATAATGAACTCAGCAGCTGTGTCTGCATGCACAAGGTCAAACTGAAGGAACCTCTAGCATGGACTGGGGAGGGGCTTATAAAGTCCTACCCCTAGCTGAGAAACTTGATAATTAAAGGCTCTGGGGAAGGGAGAGTCAGTTTTCTTCTGGGATAGAGGCCGTGAAGGCTACTCATTTTTGTTTCATTGAAAGTGGCAGGAGGAATACGGAATGGGTTTAATCAAACATTATGTGCATGTATAAAATTCTCAAAAAAAGTGACGGATGACAAAGATAGAGAATGTCCTCAAGGAGGGCAAAATATCAAAGATAAAAACGTATACATGCACAAACGGTTTGCTTGAACCAAACTGATTAATTTGCCAAAAAGGATTTTAACTAATTAATATGTAAATAGTGATTAGGATCTTGAGAAGTCTTGTGTTCATTTACTGCTTGATGACTATTGAATGCTTTCGATGTGGAGAGTGCTATACTTTTAAAGTACTTCAAAGCCATTTATTAATTAGCTTCAGTATTCTTGTTTTCTTGTTATACCTGGCTCACCTAAACTCACCTTTCCAGAGCACTTTAATGATACACTCAGTCAAAACAGTAAAATTCATGGTCTAAATTATCTCAGATTTCAAATTTATGAAAGTTCAAGTCAACAAGGTGTAATTTTATAAAGCCTAACCTTATTAGTTGAAGGATATATTTAAGAGCTGGTTTACATAAGGGTGATTTTTCTAGTTTGAGAAGAACCTTTCCATATTTGAAACATGATCATTCTAGGTTACTGTTTGTTTATTGCTGTAAAACAAGTTATCTCCAAAACTTGATGGCTTTTAAAACAGTTACCTTTTGTTTCCTCAGACAGTTCCTGTTTCAGGAACTCAGACAGCACAGGGCAGGGCTTGCACCCTCTTTCCCCCACCCCCATATCTGCGGTCCAAGCTTGTGGACTGAAAATTCTGAAATCATCTGCAGGGTTAGTCTTCATGACTGGTAGGGGTCAGCCGGGGTGTCTGGAAGGAGCTGTTGGCAGGGACACCTGCATGTGACCTGGCTTCCTTACAAAGTGATAGGTGGGTTCTGAGGACAGTCACCCTGTGAGTGGCCACACTTGAGGCACCCAGTGTCATTTCTTCCCAACCTTTTCATTTGAAATAAGGCACAAAGCCTGGCCTGTTCTTGAAAGGAGGGATCAGGAAATTTGCAGGTGTGTTTTTAAAGCTATAAATAATGGTAGTGGTTATTTTCAGGTAAACTTCGCCTTAATTTTTTCTGTGGATATTGGACTTTTAACAAACAGCATCCTAAGCTTTTTAGTTAGAAGCTGTTTGCCTATTTTGTATTTTGAAAGATCTTGTGTTGTTCTTATTATGACTTGTTTCTCTTATTCTGTAACTCATACCATTTTTCTTCTTGACTGTTGATTGAAAGAGAAATAGTGATTTCCTTTCAGTGCTAGTAACGTCAGTTTCCCTCAGTAATTGTGCGTCAAGGAAAGCATCTTCCTCTGGTGTAGTGTTCTATAATTGTTGGTTATGTGATAGTACTTAATATTATGTTTGGATTTCACAGATAAAACCACACAACCTGCAATTATATGAGTACTTTAAGAACCCCTCAGGGTGGTTGTTTTTTTTTTTTTTTTTGCCTTAAAGGACAGCTTCCCTAGTTTCATAGTGTCATGTGATAGCCTTGTGGTCTGCTTAGTAGTCAGTCAAGGGTTATTAGAACAATTGCTTTTCACTCGAAAGTTGTTTTCTAAGGGAAATTTAAGTTCTGTGTGTTTTCTTTTCTTTTTATGAGTACTTAAGAACCCCTCAGGGTGGTTGTTTTTTTTTTTTTTTTTGCCTTAAAGGACAGCTTCCCTAGTTTCATAGTGTCATGTGATAGCCTTGTGGTCTGCTTAGTAGTCAGTCAAGGGTTATTAGAACAATTGCTTTTCACTCGAAAGTTGTTTTCTAAGGGAAATTTAAGTTCTGTGTGTTTTCTTTTCTTTTTGCAACTTAATTGTTTGTTCTCCTTAAGCTACTTGAAATTTTGTGGTAAATGCTGTTTTGGAATAGTTCATTACATGGGTTTCTTGTGTGGGGGATTACTTACTGGACTATAAAAACCTGAAATAATATGCTGTATGTTTGTTCCTAAAGGCAACATATGAAGCTAAGTGTAGACCACAGTAAGACATAGCGTCTTGGTTTTCTGTTGGAGAGATGCTGAAGAACAGAAATCAGATCTGGTGAAGCCACAGCGGGAGCCTTTCACTGTGTCAGCTTGTCAGGTGTCAGGTCTCTTTACAGATTCTCTTTTTTGGTAAGTTTCTAGAAGCTGAAAAATTAGCTAACCAGCTGGCAAGAGGGGAGCATGGTCATTCGCAGATGCAGGCGGACAGCAGGAGGACTGGGGAAACTCTAGTCTGCCGCAAGATGCACTTCTGTGGCTGCCAGTAGCCCGGCGGCCCATAGGCGTCTCGATTCCCTGCTCCTCTGACTCTCACTGAGCACTGTTTGCCATCTGTTCTTTAGAGTTGGTCCAACACAGAATTAAGCAGAGCAGTTTTGCTTTCTTTTTCTGTGTGTTGGCTATTTCTGGACTTGTCAGCACTCAGCTCTCTTACTGCAGTAGTTTCCATGGTTCAAGTACCTATCTCCCCCAATGTTCCAGGTCAGTCCTATTCAACAAGTAACTTTTTGTTATTTTTGAGGCAGGGTCTCAGTATGAAGCCCTGACTGGCCTGGAATTCACTATGTAGTTCTATCAGGCTGCCTTGAACTTGCATTGAGTCTTGAGTCTCTGATGCCCTGGGGCTGGGAATTCAGGCACAAGCCACTCTGCCTGGCTTGCAGCCCTTGTTGAAAGGCTCGTGGAGATGTCAGGTTCAGCGGTCAGGAGTGGGTTAATGTTTTTGTTTTGGAAGTGGGTCCTTGTACAAGGTTCAGGCTCTTTCCTCTTTGCTGCTCTTGTACTCTTTTGCTCTTCTGGACCCTTGAAATTGGACTCACTGACCCCAGAAATTTGAGCTAAATAAACACCTCGTGTTTAAAAATTACGCACTCAGGTATTGTTTCAGCAGTAAAGATGTGCAATGACAGGGGTGTGGCACTCACCTGTTCCACTAACTGCCCTCTGTCACACTAGACTGTCATTTGGAGCATTTGCTACACATGCTTTATGTGGCACTTAACGATGACAGTGCTTACTAATTTCATCGCCAGGTTTCCTATGATGAAATGACAGTTATTCTTTTCCACAATGAGCAGTGTTACGTTCACTTCATAACTACAATGTGTATCGTGGTCTCCAGCCCACAGTAGCTATAAGTGTGTGTGTGCGTGTGTGTAACCATGACTTGAAGAGAGAGAGAGAGAGAGAGAGAGAGAGAGAGAGAGAGAGAGAAATCAGAGCCAGTAAGGAATATGCTTCCAAGCCTTTGGCTCAGTGACAGTCACCTGTTGTGAATAGGACATAAGCTCTTTGAAGGTCAATATAGTGACCCTACACCCCACTTATAACCGAACAGGAATCAGAACATGTGGGAGTGTTTTCTTAAGCGATCAAGTAATTTCCATGTATTGAAATGGGCTGTGTTCAACTCTTCAACTTTTGTTCCTTTTTTTTCTTTTAAAATGTATGTGTCTATGTCTGGGTATGCCACATGTGTGCAGGTGCCCACAGAGGCCAGAAGAGGAGAGTTTGGAGCCCCTGGAGTTGGAGTTATAGGTTGTGAGCCACCTGATGTCAGTGCTGGGAACTGAACTCAGGACCTCTAGAAGAGCAACAAGTGCTCTTAACTGCCGAGTCATCTTGCCAGCCCCTCACGTGTATATA